ATGTATGTATCTAATCCTGCCTGAACCTGACTTTATTGGGGACTATATTCTCATTAATATTTCCAGATCTCACTGACATCTGTTCTCTTCTCCAGATAACACCTCTGGACCATTGTGGCCAATAACTTTTTGACTGCAGTGTTCAGGCCCCCTCTTTTCTGGATCCTTTCTCTTCCTTTTCTCAGCATCTTCTTAAAATGATTTTATGAAACTGGTGTGAACAGTGTATGCTTTTAATATGAGGACTCAGGAGGCAGGTGGATTGCTATGAGTTTGAGACTACCTAGGCGTACAAAGAGAGTTTGAAGTTAGCCATGGCCACATAGAGAGAGACACTGTCAAGAAGCAGACAGACAATCAAACAGACAGATATACAGATAGACAGACAGACATAGAAAGGGAGAAAATATGTCTGACTTTTTGATAAAATGCCTTTTGATTTCTACTGCTTTTTCCTTTTCTGTGGTAGCACACAGGGTGAAAGATAATATTTTGGCTTACAGTTCAGGGGTGCAGTCCTCTGTGGTAGGGGCATCCTGGCAGCAGGAATGTAAATTGTCTGGTCACATTGCTTCTGCAGTCAGAGATCAGAGAGGGTTGAATGGTGGTACTCAGCTTCCTTTCTCCTTTTCATTCACTCTAGGAGCCTGGCCAGGGGAATAGTATCTCCTACTTTTACATAGTTTTGTCTCACTTCAATTAATTGAATCTAGAGAATTGCCCAGAGGCATGGACAGATTCTAACCTAATCTAGAAGCTCCCCCACAGATGTATCTGGAGGCTTGTCACCCAGGGGATTCTAAATCCTGTCAAGTTGACAATAAATGTTGACCAACAGTCTGCCTTCATTTCAGATCTTTTCTGTCATATATAGTTTTCCTCCATAGTATACATGGAGCTGGTTAAAATAACTGTTCATTTATTTATTTCTCCCTTGAAACATAATAACCACCCTGAGGGAGAGATATTCATCTTCGAAGTGCTATATCTGCACTGCTGGGCATACTACTTGGCACACCACTGTGTTTAAAGAATCATTGAATGAAAAAAAGGAAGAAGTGAAGAAAATGTGTTTCTACTTGAGGTAAATGTTTAGGCTTCATTTTCGAGGTGAAGATATTTCAGAATTGATGTGTTTGATAATGTCAAACACTTTCAACCATGGAGGTTTGTATTGATCAGAATGCTGGACACTGTAGGCAACTTCCTACCACAGTGCATGTTTCATTAGTGTATAGAATATTGAATCTCATTTGACTTCATATTCATATATGTCTAATAAGTCAAATATACCTTGTTATTATGCCCCAACTAACCTCCCATGTGCAGTTTCCTTACATCAGAAAATTTCCTTTCTACTTTCATGTCACAGACACACACACACACCACATAGGTAAATACATGCATATGTATATATACTATAGATCATTAACTCTAGGTTGTATATAGAGAAGCAGCATCCATTATCTTATATTTTTAATTCATTTCTTATGTTTGTTTGCATGTCTATAAGTATGCATGTATATGGGTATTCATAGGTTATATCACAGTAGTGGAGATCAGGGCTTCCTATTGGTGTCAGTCTCTCCTTCCATCTTGTGGAAGTGTGCTCTCTCTTTGCTTTTGCTACCCTGCTAAGTGACCATGCAATTGTAGATTATTCTCTCTGCCCTCATCTCATTGTAAAGGTGCTGGGACTTCAGAAGTCCACCCTTGGATGTAGAATGTATGTGGGTTCCAGGGACCAGTCCACAACCTTCAGGGTTGTACAGCAGATGCTCTAACCTTCTGAGCAATCTCATGGCTCTATTTTGTCTGTCTTTGCCCCAGGACTCTTCTTGCTCTTCTCCTTACCTCCCTTTAGCCTTCTTCATGCCCACTGATAGTTTTTCTACTTTTATTCCCACCATGTGTGTTTGTGTCTATGTGTGTGTGTGTGTGTGTGTGTCTCTGTGTATCTGTGTGTGTAACATTATCTTTTTCCACTCATCTAGTGATGGGCACCTATGCTGATTCCATATCTTGGTAGCAATAAACATGTATATGCTGGGATCTCTGGTCTGCTTCCATTTAAACAGGTCCAGTATTTTTATTTAAGTCAGTGGTTCTCAACCTTCCTAATGCTGTGATGATTTAATACAGTTCATCATGTTGTGGTGACCCCCAAGCATAAAATTATTTCATTGCTACTTCATACCTGTAATTTTGTTGCTGTTACAAATCATAATGTAAATATCCGATATGTGACCCATCTTAGGGTTTTATTGCTGTGAAGAGATACCGTGACCACTGCAGTTCTTATAAGGAAAACATTTAACTGGGGTTGGCCTACATTTCAAGATTTTGTTCATTATCATCATGGTAGGAAGCATGGTGGCAGGTGGGTAGACATGGTACTGGAGAAGATGCTAAGAGTTCTACATCTTGAGCTGTAGGAGGCAGGAAAAGACTGAGCCACACTAGGCCTAGATTGAGCATCTTAGACCTCAAAGCCTGTTCCCAGTGACCACTCTCTCCAAAAGCCACACCTACTCCAACAAGGCCACACCTCCTAATACTGCCACTTCCTTTGGGCCTCTGGCAGTCATTTTCATTCAGTCTACCACATGACCCCCAAAGGGGTTACAACACATAGGTTGAGAACTGCGAGTTTAAGGATTTATTCTATAGTCACCTGAAAATGCATATCAATTCATCAGGCATATGACTCTTTATCTTAGTGTCTGTTATAGAATTGTAATATCTTAAGTAATAAATGTTTAGATAGAGGCTTATCACTTATATTTATGTGCTACAATACTTTTGGAAAGGTAGTAAGGTACCTTCATATCTACCAGAGTAGGTCCTAGGTCTTGAATCTTTTAATGGCTTCAGCTCAACTCTTGGCTGCATCCCATCTTCCCCTTAAGTAAATATCACCATAGAAGCAATGGATTATGATAGATTATATATAATGTTTAATAATGAATCTGTACTTCAGAAAGAGAAATATCAATATTAACCAAAGCTCCTAGTATATCTCATAATTTATATAATAAAGAATCAGGTTTCCCCACACCTTTAATGTAGAAATCACTGTATATTATTCAGTCTCTGCCAGCTGAGAGAGGAGCAGGGAATTTCAGGTTAGATCTTCAAGAAGGACAGGAAAAAAAATATCCAGGATGAAACAATAACACAGGATTTTATGCACTATGATAGCATGTTAGCAACTGAAGCACTATCAACTATGGACCATGTATTCAGAAATAACATATTCAGAATGCAGGTTTCACAGTCAATAGACTTTTCTATAGAATTTTCATGTGTAAAATGAACTCTTCATTTTTTTCAGGTAGGATTTTTGAAAACATGACTATAGTCATATAAATAAGTTTATCTACAGTCTCTAAGTTAACTTTTAAAATAGCATGCAAAGAAATGGGTTTGGAGGCTGGAGAGATGGCTCAGTGGTGAAGAACAGTTGCTCGTGTAGAGGCCCTGAGTTTCTTACCCAGCACCCGCATCAGTTGGATCCATTGTTCTTTTCTGGCCTCTGCAGACACGGCACTCACCTGCTTGAACTCCTTTACACACATGCACACAGCTAAAATATAAATCTTTAATCACAATGATAGAGTAATGGGTTTCATTGAGGCATTTCAAGCATGTGTCTCATACATAGTTCTAGTGTGTTCTTCTCCCTCAGCTTCCTCCCCATCCCCATGTCCTCTTCTTGCTGTTCCCCGTCCTCTTTGCAAGTCATATCAAATGTTGCCACATCCTTTCCCCTTGCTTCCCACTTAAGATCTCTCCTTCCTCTCCCATGGTTCCCACTAATATCTCAAGATCTAGAAAAAGCAATTCTAAAATTCCCATGGAAGCACCTAAGACTCTGAACATCCAAAGCAATCCACAGAGGACACACTCAGTCTGAAATTGTGCCACAATACCACGGTGACATAAACAATATGGCACTGGCACACACATAGACACAGCTATACTTATATACTTATGTGATTCTCAGCAAATGTATTCTTCATATTTTGGATAAATGACTGCCTCATCTGCATCATGTCTTCACAGAAGAGGTCACACTTTACTAGATCCAGACAAACATAGCTACAAGTTACATGTATGTAGAAGAAGATGAAGGAAAGTAAACATATCCACAGAATATGATAACCCATATAAAATGGTCTGTGAGTTTATTCTTACTTAAAACCCACTACCCCAAGACCAGTAAAGCCAAGGCCTCCACATGTACATAATATTTCTTCTAACTGTACGAACATTGATTTCCCGTGTTTTTGTTTTGTAGTAATACACATGTTGATATGTGTGAAATATTGGCTTTTTGAAAGTCAGAGGAGTTTCCCACTGATTTAGTAAACCCCAAATTCACTTTGGAAATTTGTTTATAGAATCTATCACATGAGGTCAAGAAGAGCTACCATGTTCAAATGACTGGACATGTGAACCACAGAGGCCCAGGCTTTTACAACTGAGGAAGGGCATCAAAGGATTATCTTGTGGAAATAGTTCTTTGAGAGATAGTGATATGGTCCTAGCACATAGCAACTGTTGCAGTTAATTTCCATGCACATGTGTGCACATGAATGCCAGAAACCAACTTCAGTTATCTTCTTTGGAGCACCATCTCTGTGGTTTTTGAGACAGAGTCTGTCATTTATCTAGAACTCATCAATTCTAGGTTGGCTGACCAGCAAGATTCAGTGATCTGTAGCCATCTTTCTAGAGCTAGGATTATCAACACAGGTCACCACAACTGAGTTTATTTCTTTAAACATGGATTCTGGGAGTTAGACTCAGGACCTCATTTACCCAGCAAGCCATCTTCCTATCTCTTCTGCAAGGAATTGTATTTCATATGGCAAATAATTGAAATGAGCTAAAGTCACCAAAATAAACATTTCAATAATGTTTTGAAATTTTCGTGTGTAATTTTCAGTGAATAGACATGTGTTTGTAGGATTTATAGCTCATGTCTGTCTTTGCAGGAATACATGGACTCTAACAAGTGCATCGAACACCTGTTGGCACAGCTCAGGGAGCAACACAGAAGTCTCTGGCGGTGAGTTCATTCACACTCCAATCTTTCTTGACTCAGATAGTAACCTCCATGTCTTTGGAATTAAAAAAAAAGTCTGTCATTTGTACAGTGATGAGTTTTGAACCCAGTTCTTGGGCATTCAGGGCGAGCATTTTAACTTGTGTGCTTAATTCTTGTAACTGGCTTTGATCATGGAACAGGGAATTTGATTAAACATATCTCCTTCTACTTAATTCCAGAGCTACCTATGTGCTCAAGATCATCACCAAAGTTTAGGAGAGCCCAGCTTCCTAAACTGTCACTCATGATCCCAGGAGGGTTCACATTGCATAAACAGTTGGAAACTGGGACAGTTCTGAATGTTCAGTGACCAGAAACTGATTCAGTATGAAGGGGGTGATGATTTTCTGGCATTTCTGGTAGCATGCCCCTATGTTGCTGGCTTTGTTCTGAGTACACGGCATACTTTCCAGTGTACCAAGCTCTGCAGTGGTGTCATGCAGAATGTTGCTGCCTGTGCATGGTTCAGGTCCCAGGGCAGTGTGGCTTAGAAGTTTTGGTGTCTTTATTGTACATTACATTTTGTGATCTTAGAGAAACATGGTATTTTTTTCATGTTCTCAAAGAACAAAAATGTTTACATTTTCCTACTTCCCACAGCATGGAAGCAAAAAAATAATGTATATTTACACTGTATCCTGTTAGAATGTTTGATTTTTAGATTGCTATTTAAGTTGCTAACTTGAGTTCCATAAAATAATCTGCTAGATAAATTTTAGCATGTGATTTGGACAGAAATTTCAGCAGTTTCTGTAATATCCCTAGACATACTTTTGCCATTTTGCACTATGTATTCATATGAATATATAATGCTATTCACAGTTGACAGTTATGAAAATAAAGTATCATGATTATGAAAAATGTTGAAGATGCTTTGTTTCTTATGGTGTCTAATAGTCAGCCAAGATTTAATTGCTTATGTAAAAAATAAACATGCCCATCTCATCAGTTTGCAAATTTATCTTTAATAAATAATAAAACCATACATCTATGGTGTTTTATAAAAATAGCTTTAAAGTAAATTTATGATTTATTATAAGTAGATGTTTGAGTCAAATACCAAATTTATATACCTATATATTTAGAGTTACATAAAAATTGTAACAATATGAAGAGGCCACAAAAATAAATGATCAAATATATTGTATAAATTTGAAAAGAAATTTTAAAGGAATATATTAAAATACTTTATTTTTAAAATGAAGCCCTAACTTAGAGAATGACATTTTATAATTAAAGCAAAAGAGCAGCTGAGAATCTGTCCTCAGGTCTAGGATTTGCCCAGAGCAAGCAGGTGGGAATGCCACATGGTAAACTTAGAACATGTCTGAAAGTAGGCACGAATTCTCTACCAACCTCCCTCTTCAAAGATCATTGAAGCTTTTTGTTACAAAGTAGTCAGGTTTCTAGTTCTTTGCTTGAGAAGATTTGTCCCGGAAGGCTTCTGTGCAGTAATTTTTCATGCTGAGATTGTTTTACATGGTGGGCTTTGACTCTAGGTTTGGAAAGTAATCTGGGACATATGTCCAAGCACCCTGGAATATAAATTGGTAACATGTACTTGAACCTCCCAAGTCAGTCATTCCTGAGTCCCCTGAGAATAGACTGGAAAGATGGCTGTGATGTAATGAGTTAGTTTTCTAGGGTTTTATGAGTGTGTTCTTTGCAGGTGCCATGATGATGTTTGTATTCCTTTTCTTACGATATCAGTATTTCTTAAAGTTTGAAATACATTTGCTAGAATGTTATTACATATTGCATGCTACATGAGAATTGTCCTGTCTATTGCCCTTGTCCCAAGGATGAAGGGACAGAATCTCCTATAGTCATTTATTCATTTATATATGTGTCTATTTTGACCTCATGGAAGGTAGAGCTTGCTTTGTACTAACCTTATAAAAAGAGTTCTAGTTTGGGATAAAGTGCTATATATTTTCCTTCATTCAGAACATCCATGATCTTTGGTCATAGTAATATAAAAATCTTGTTCCATACATAAAAATATTACTGGGAAAATGTTTAAGTTGATCCATTAGTTTTGTTTCTTTAAAATATATTTGTATTAATTGATAATTTGACATATACATGAATGTATTTTGATCCCATTGTTCTTCATTCATCTAATTCCTCCAGATCCACCGTTTACCTCTCCACCCCCTTACAACTTCCTTTCCACTTTTTCTTTTAAAAATACTTTTTGTAACTCACCACGTCCAAAGTGTGCTGTCCATATACTTGTGGGTGTAGGGCCATACACTGGAACATGGTAGACCTACCAGGGGTCACACCTTTAAAGGAAATTGAGTCTCCCTCTCTCAGGAATCACCAGCTCCTCAGCTGGAGGTGGGACCTTGTAAGTCCCTCCCCCTCCGTGTTGCAGTGTTGACTGGGTTGATCATGTGTGGGTCTTGTGTAGATAACCACAGCTGCTTTGTTCATAAGTATGGCTGTTCTGTCATATCCAGAGGACATGTAAATTTTAATCTGAGTGGAGACATCAGTTTCTTTCTTATTTTTCTTTTCATCGTGTGTGTGTGTGTGGGGGGGGCGGTGTTGTAGGCATATTTGTATGCACATTTTGCTTGCGCATGCATGGTTCTGAATGTGAAGTTCTAAGGTTGATGTTAGGAAGCATGCTCATTGCTCTTTCATCTCATTCTTTGAGGCATGGTCTTTCAGACAAACCCAGAACTTGCTGCTATGGCCGGCCAATGTCATTAAACAGCTTGCTATGAGGATACTTGTCTTGGCTGGAATTACAGGCCGACTACAACACCCAGTGACATTAACGTGGCTTTTCTGGAGATCTAAAGTCTGGTTCTCATGCTTGTAACACTACCCTTCAAGTGATGTCTCTAGTCCACCAGTCATTTGCTTATTAGTTAATATATTACCAAGATTGGTTTTTGGAAATTATAATCATAATTATTTGTTTTCTGTTTGTTTTTGTAAACTAGGGAATAAGTAAAATTAGCAACTTTGTACGTAGCTGCGTTTTTTAAGTTGTACTTTTCTATAGATCTATTTGAACATATTTTAAAACCGATCCATGGAATTTGTAAAATTACATTTAATCTCCTTGTGTAGAATATTTCCTATTGCTCTGTCTTTCAAGAAAAAAAATATACAGCAACAATAATGGCTGCCTTCTGATGAAAGACAATTTTGAGTTTAATCTGGACAATAAGTATTAACATATATCTTGCATACATCACTGTGGAGGAATATGGGTTGCCCTCTCTTTGAACCAGTAACAACATGCATGGGAAAGGGGTAGCTAATAAAAATCATTGGTCTTAGATATGGCTGAGTTGAAATCTCATTTTGGGCATGCTAAGAGAGCAGAAGTTTGTGTGCAAACTTTTCCACTTTGTGTTTTTGAGAGACAGCAAACCTCAGGTATGATGTCAGAAGCTTCAGTAATCTCCCTCTGAGTAACAGTGGAGTGTAATAATGGCACTTGAATAGTCAGAGTGACTATCTCTGAGGAAGTGAAAAAAGGGATCATTAAAAAAAAATGAAAACCAAGAATAGATTTCTGCACTCTATACTAAATCATGCAATTACAGTTAATTTTGCTTTACGAACCGACCCTGACTTTTGACTTGAAGTGAGAGAGTTCATCATGGTCTATGGTGACATCAGAACTTTGAAGAATACACGAGTGCCAGAGATTGCTGTATAAAGTCCTTTCTGATGATGATCAGGTTGTGAATACTTTACTCACAAGTCATATAGACACTATGTTGCATGGAGGATCTTGAGAATGACCTTGTGTCATGTACCTGAACCTAACTAGGGTGTCTGAAATTAGACAAACTCTCCCGTAAGTCATAGGCTCATGTGTTTATTGTACCATTGATTGATGACTGCTACAATTATCATAGGGGGATGGCCCTTCATTGTGGCTCCTCACAGACCTGATGTCCTAAAATTGTATGTAAGTATATTATAATTTTAGCGTCAAGTACTTGAATATATTTAACTGGAGATTTCCAGGCCAGTGAAAGGCTCTATCTCAAACAGTGAGCTGAAGGGCCTCCATGGAATGGAACCTTTAAAGTTGTCACCTGGCCTTTATGTGTGTGTATATATATATGCATGTGTACATGTAAACATTTACACAGGCATGATATACTCACAGAAAAGTATTTTTAAATAGTTTCCTTAGCTTCATGGAGGAAGTTAAGGTTTTACTTTTTTTTTTTTTTGCATCTCCAATGACATGAAAATGTATTGTAATCATCTTCAAAGTAGCTATGCTATTTTGGGATCCTGCCTAGTATATTATAGAAATAGTCCTATCCTCTGTCTTTGAGATGTAGAATTATAAGGGAATTTGTGGAGCTCAAATACAGTCATCCAACAATAGCAGACATTTAGGTACAATCTCTTTGGTACCAGCAAATTATTTTTTAAAAGACAAATATTTGTGGCTTTATATAAAGAAATGGATGGAATCTACAACTACATCTAAATTCTCTTAGATATATAATGAAGTCTTTTTTTCCTCTATACCTTCATACTTGACCTTAAAAAATGGATGGGGTGTGGAGAAACTGCTGAGCAGTTAGAAGCGCTTGCTGCTTATACAGAGTAACCGGGTTAGGTTTCCAGCACCCATACTGGACACCTCACAAGTGCCTGTAACTCCAGCTTCAGGAGCTCCAACATCCTTTTCTGGCCTCTGTGGTTTCTGTATTCATTGTACTTATGTGCATGCATCATTCCTGCATACACAGAATTAAAAATGAAATCTTAAAAACACCCACACGACATGTATTTTAGTTAATGTCAAACCACAGTCTTGATTTCCTGTGTCTTAGTTTGCTCTGATATGGAAAGTTAACATTAAGATGAGCGTTTTTTGTATGTGATGATTTTTATAACCCCTGCTATTTCTCATTTGGCTAAATATCTTTGATTGACATGAAAGATCATAAGAAATAATAGTGGAAAAT